CCCCTGGCCTCTCCTCCTCAGAGCCCAGTTGCCCGGGAGCAGAGGACCCAGTGGCTGGTTTCACTCATGCCTGCCTTAGACTGTAATGATTTTTACATAAAAATAAACAAAATGTCTTTGATTTCGTTATTTGTACTAGTAGATCCAAAACTATATGTAGTCACAGTGTCAGATTAAGTGCTGTTTCTGTCCAGAATGATATGATGGTATTATATTCATGGGTATATAAAAATTATTAATATACTGGAATTTATGCATATGATGCAGAAAACCACAAAAGGGGCAGTATTTACAACAGTTTAAAGTGTTTTCCAAGTTAATACTTTATTTTTATGTGACTCCTTTCCCCCTAATGATCTAAAAGTGTTTGGTAGGCAATTGTGGTCACTACTTTACATAATTGAGAAATATATTTCATAATAATAACATTTTAAAAACCTCAACCTATATATAATACTCACTGACACTTCCTATCTGTATTTTTTTTTGGAGACAGATTCTTGCTCTGACGCCCAGGCTGGGGTGCAGTGGTGATCTTGGCTCACTGCACCTCCGCCTCCCAGGCTCAATTGATTCTCCTGCCTCAGCCTCCCGAGTATCTGGGATTACAGGTGCCCACCACAACACCCAGCTAATTTTTGTATTTTCATTAGAGACAGGTTTTCACCATGTTGGCTAGGCTGGTCTCAAACTCCCGACCTCAAGTGATTCACCTGCCTTGGCCTCCTAAAGTGCTGGTTTACGGACGTGAGCCACCATGCCCGGCTCCTATATTTAAGTCCTATTTGGGATAGACTGTACTACAGCAATTGTGTGAAGACATACAATTGAAATAGCGACATATATTCTCTCCTTGTTTTCAGGTCATCAAAAATGTAACTGTGTATTAAACACTTAAATTTAGCTAATGTAATTAAATATTATAGGGCACACTTTTAGTAGAAATACATACGTTAATACTCTCATAAACTAATCAGGACCTTAGTCATTTTGAATTTAGCTTGGATTCAGAAGTCCTCAGCAGGTGTTTACCTCAGATTTGTTTATTTCTTGGAAGTTAGCTTTCCAGTCTTTCAGTCGATCTACTCAACACTACTAGATTGTCAAAACTTTAGCTTGTATTCCCAAAAGGTTCAGGCCAAAGTCCTAGCACAAGAGTTACTGGAAAAGGGGACTGATCCAGACCATAAGAGAGAGTTCTTGGATATTGTCCAAGAAAGAATCTGAGGTGAGTCCACAGAGTACATTGAAAACAAGTTTATTAAGAAAGTAAAAGAGTAAAAGAATGGCTACTCCATAGCAGTGGCATGACTGCTGGACTGAGTAAACTTATGGTTATCTCTTGATTAAATGCTAAACAAGGGGTGGAATAGTCATGAGTTTTCCAGGAAAGGAGTGGAGAATTCCAAGGACTGAGAGTTACTCCCCCTTTCAGACAAGATAGAGTAACTTCTGATGATGCCATGGCATTTGTAAACTGCCATGGGGCTAGTGGGAGCGTCTTTTAAGCTGCTAATTTATTATAATTGGCATATAATGAGCAGTGAAGATGACCAGAGGTGGCTTTCACTGTCCTCTTGGTTTGGTGGGTTTCGGCCTGCTTCTTTACTGCGTGGTGTTTTATCAGCTGAGTATTTGCTTAACTACTGTTCTACAAGAATCTGCATTATTATCTTTAAAGCAAAATATATTCGTAGATTAAAAATACATTTGTTCCTAAGATATTGGGACACATGGACATTTCCTGGGTCTGTTAAGTCCTGGGTCTGTTCGGTAAACATTATTAACCTATTCTCTTCACTGTAGACATTCTGTGACTAAGAATGCCCAACGTTCTGGGAATGCAGCCCAGCAGGTCTCAGCCTCATTTTACCTACCCTGTGTAAAGATGGAGTCCCTTTGGTTAGAATGCTTCTGACACAAAAACCCTGGAATTCTTACCAACAAAATGATGGAATTTTGGAGCAATAATATGCTTTGGATATCACTTTAACCAGCACCTTTTTTTCAGATGAGGTAACTGAGTTGTAAAGTTAAGTGACTTGTAAAGGCCGCAATATTTCCTTACCAGAATTGGACTCAGGCTCTTGATTCTCTGTACAGTGTTTTGTTTTTTGTTAAATTTTGTTTTATTAATTTGCACTATATTTCTCCTCTCTGATATGGTATAAGTAGCAAGGAAGAATCACAAAAGCATTTTTTATTAATGTAAAATAAATTTTTCTTCCAATTTTATCCTTATAAGTAAATAGTATGCTATTTGTATTTAATAACTTTTAACATGAGCTACAAGCAACTTAGTTTGCTCCTAAAAATATTGTACAAAACTATTATTCTATTATAAATTGCTTGTTTTAGCAAATGTTTTACCTTCCTGCAGAATTAGCAGGAAATACTTGGATGACATTTCAGAACAAGATACGTGTGGATAGATTTCATGCTATACGAATGGTCACAATGAGTAGAAATAATTACTTTTATTATATTCCTTTGAACTTGAGAAAGAGTAGAAGGAGTGAATTCAAGGTTGCACACAGGAAGTGACTGTTGGGAGACAAGATGAACTCTCTCCGGTGAGAGAATCTGTGTCCTTTCAATTCTTTTTCAGATTTCAATTACAAACAGCATTCTCTGCTGCCCTCTAGAGGTTCTATAAGCCATTAGTGAGGGTGGTACCAAAAAAAAAAAAAAGAAAGAAAGAAACCTATGAGGAAGGTAAGCAAATTATTTTTCCCTTCAATGACAAAGGAAATAGAACATATCATTTGGTGAATCAAATACAGATTTAAACCAAATGAAACAGTGAATTAGTACTGAAATACATATAATATATATAATCTACAATATAATAAATATATACTATATAATAAATACATAAATATATAGTATATAACTTATATAATTAAAAATATATATGTTTAAATTGGCATTTAATTGTTAAAGTTTAAAACAATTCAGTTCAGACTGATAAACTGTTATCGTTTCACATTTGGTTCTAATTTTTTCATGGTTTTCATTGGGTTTGTTTCAATAATTGGCAAAGATAAATGTGTTCATTGATTTTTCTTGTTGACCCTCCTGTTTTTTCATGACATGTGCTGTCCATGATTCAACTATAACAATATCTATTATCAATGATTTGTAAATTTGCATTTCTTAGATTACCTTTTAGTCTTCCTGAAATGGCAAGCCAAAGTTCCAACTCCTCTGATTTCTTTGTATTTCGATTAGATCTGCCAACAACTCTAGTGAGTGGTTATTATAATCTCTGTTTTTACAATGACCTAACCAGGTTACACAAAGGTTAAATGACTTTACCAATATCATGGAGCTAGTAACAGGTTGTTTGGAAACTCAAAGCAGTTTGGCCCAACTTGAAAAAACGAAGTTCTATTCTCTCCACACATTAATGCTACTTGAAAATAATTGTTTCTTAAAAATGTGTTCGTCACAGCGCCAAAGCCATGCCTAATATTAGACGCCTTTCCTCTAAGCTCAGTTACCTTTCTATATCCTCCACCACATGTAATGGAATCATAAAACTACCCACTAAGCAAGCCAGAAGCTTTCTACTTGGCCCTAACCTTCTTCTCATCCCCTTTGGCCTGTGCGTTATTACGCACTTTTAATGTGAATCTTGACTGCTCTTCAATTAGTCTCCTGTCCTGCCATCACCTTAAAGCAAGCCTATGCATGAAGTACAGTAGCCCCCTAATACCACCCTTAAACCAGGCTTTTTCCCTCTAAATCAACCCCTGCACCAACGTCAGCATGATTTTCTCTAAGCACAAATTTAGCAGTGCCATTTTTGTGCCTCCTCTTTTCTACAGTCTCATTTATTATTCCTCACTCCCTTCAAATCTGGCTTCCAGCCCCACTGCTCGAAGAGGCTGCTCCCTCCATTTCTTTGTTCAATTGTCAAGTGACTATTTTGTGGAAGGTTCAAGGAATATCTGGGGAAAGAGGAACTATTTTAACCATAAGAAACTTAAAGCCTAATAAGGAATCTTATACATAAACAGATTATGTGTGAACCATTGTAAAGATCCTGGGACAATAGGGGAAGCTAAACTTGCCTAAAAGGGACATTTCCAATAAGAGGATATTGAGCTGAGTCTTAGCAAGAAATGAGTTTGCAGCAGGGTGTGGGTAGAGGGTATTCAGACAGAGCAAAGCATAGAATTACAAAGGTAACAATTAGCAGATAAGGCTGGTTAAGGTCACAACGTTTGCATGCTTTGCTAAGGTGTACAGACAATGAGTAGCATTTAAATGATGGTAGGCAGGAAAGAAATTTGGATTTGTAAAAGACCACTCTGCCAGCAATTTGAGTGTGGAATAGAGGTGGCAAAGATAGGAAGTAGCCAGATTTATAGGGAAGATCTTGCAATTGTTCAGGTTACACATGATGAGTGTCTGGACTTAGGAGAGTGTCGGCAGCATAAAGTCGAGATTTAAGAATTGCAAGATGTAAAAACTGAAATATGAGGTATGCAAACGCAGAGATGTTTTGTTCAATGACACATCTCAAACATCTTGAGCAGTGCTGACCAAAAGTAGATGCTAAATAAATATATGTAGGATTCTGGGAAGATGTCAGTGTCATTGTAGTTTCTGAGTATTCCTAAATCTCCCCCCAAAATAGGCATAATAACTGTCCCCACTTACCCCTTTTCTTTCAAGTTACTCTTTCTCTAAGTATTATTTCTGTATTTGAATATATTTCTTCATTATGAACATCGCATATTTTCATTACTTGTATATATGTCTATCATCCCTGAATGATTCAGAGCTCTTTAAGTAAGCTGATGACATTCAGTATTTAACTGTTTCCCCTTCCATGTCCAGTCTTTATTTCCTGTCACTTTGTTGGTATTAAAAAGAAATATCGCATTTAAGAATATGCTGTCTATGAGGAGTCAGTGAAAATTTATAATGGTAGCAAACAGGCAAAATTGTAAAATGTATTTACAAAATAGTGGCATTAATAAAATGAAAAATAATGTTAATATCATTTTTATTGAAATAAAAAGTGTATAGAGACAAGTGAAAAAAATAATTTATTGCAGATTCTTTTACACATTAACATGGAACATTTATACATATATCGAGGTGCTGATATGAAATACTAAATTTAAAGGCAAACATTTTTACATAAAAGTAGTTGCAGTCTATTTTATAAAGATAATAAGTTATCTGAGACATTTAAGAACTAGAGGCCAATTATTCCAATAGTAATGCATTCTATGCTGATATTAAACTAAAATTTTCTGAACATGATATCCTGGATATAATCACATTCTTCTAAGCTAAAGAAAGGGAGCTCATTTCTGGGAATACAAAACCAAGAAGGGCTCTAACAGCAGTATCCCCACAGTATGTTTCCAGATTTATTCTTGCATGTGGTTGGAGCTCCCAACATTTAGCCTGAACTAATGTAACAGCTCAATGTGAAACAATGCAGCTTTCTGTAACAGCCGCCTATGGTTAATGAGATTTAATACACGGGATACAGTTACAAATGATAGCATTTTAGAAGAATTATAATTGCCACATGATTTGAATTAGTAACCAAATACTTTAATAACAGAAACGGGTATTCTATATTTCCAAAAGGAAAGTAGCATACTTCAAAATAGTCACTATTTTCTTGGCATGATATATTAATTCTCACTTTGGGAGTCTGAAAATAAATTGCATTTTTCCCCTAAAACTTAGAATTCACTCCTTTAGAAAATGATTTCTATAATGATATACACCAACATGATATAAACTTTATTACATATTATAGTCATTAAAATATACATATACATATATATGGAGCACTAAACAGATTTGGTAAACCATGATATAAATATACACATGGTCAAATACTGTTCAGTTTCATTTAACTAAATTCAACAAATATTCATTGGGTGCCCACTACTTGCAGATCACCATGCTAGGTAATGCTTGTAGTAGATTTTAAGACACATGAAGCTCACATCAGCCACATCAAAAGTCAAACTTTAGATAATATATTAAAGCCTAAAAAAATAATAAAAAGCAGAGCTAAAGTTGAATAATGGATAGTGAGAGATACACCTAGAAGAAAGGCTTGGGGTAATTGACAAGGACAAAAGAAAATCTGTATCCGTAGGGAAGAACTGCTCCTGGGCTTGGCATGTGTTAGGAGAAAACTGGAACCTAGTCTGCGCTCCTCTTCACCCCATAATCCAAGATTCAGTCATCATCCTGCTTTGTTTCCTTAAAAAGGCAGAAGAAAAGAGGGATTGATTTACAGTGAAAATGAAGTTTATAAAATCAATTAAATATATTTTTCTCTTTATGAGAGCGTGATCCACGTTCACATCTACAGTTTCTGTAAATCATTCCCACCATAATTCTGGGGAAAACAGGACCACACGACTAAGATGACCAATGTTTGAGGTAGTTACGGTTTAGTTTATCAGAAGAACATCAATAAGCATTTCCACCTCATAGGAAAATGATTTAATGTTAAACCAGGTGAAAGAAGATAAATATTTCCAACCCTGGCGTTCTATTCCCTTTAGAAGTTGCTATGCTCTAAAAGCATTTTTAGAGAATGTATACATACCAAAAGAGAAACATGAGCATGTAGTCTTATCCCCCATGAAGAAACAACACATCAACAGGGTAACAAAGTATCAAACCTCCTTCTGATGCCACACTTTACAAAAGGCTAGGAAGAGGCTAGCCATGATCTTAGTGTGTGCAAGGCCTCTATGAGAGGTGTGATTCCACTTTGGATGTGCCACTGTTCTGAAGTCCATTCCAGCACATGGGCTCTGCCTGGAGTATAACCACAGTACTAGAAAGAACTTAAATCTTCCATAAGGAAGTAACCGGATTCTAGAAAGTTAAAAATCACTCATCCATCTAGGAGAAACACACATGAGGGACTAAGATTTCCAAAATTCCCCAATCACTCCATAGAAAGATAGCCTGGCCCTTAAAAGGATCTTAAGCTTCATGGTTAGGAAACCTCCCATGAACTACAGCCGTTATTTAATGATGCTGGTGATCTCAGAGCCAACTTAGAGAGCTGAGGAAAAGAAGGGTCAGGGGAGCCCCTCACAGCCCACTTACCTTTGAGCCAGACTACAGAGGAAGAGCAAAACAACCACAACAGCAAGAAAAAAAGCAGCCTTCTCAATCCAGTCCATTGGGTTAATTTCATTAGAGGACAAAAGTCACTAAAGTATCCCCTAAAAAGTACTTATCATTGTAACCAGCTCGTTAATGTTCAGTTATGTCCCCTGCTTTACTTAAAAGTTAATTTCTGTTAGCAAGAATTATTTTCAAATGAAATACATTTTCAGTGATTACGCTTTAGTTTTCCATACTTATACTGTGTCTTAAGTACACAAATTACACTTTGATTATTCATACCTCTGTTCCTGTATTTTTTCTGGATAGAAACCAAACTTGCATTGGTTCTTTTTTGCCCTTCATGGACACTGGGCCTCTGTGCTCCAAATGGAATTGTGGATCTGAATTTTCTGGAGACATAAGACATCTAAAAGACAAGGGAAGGGGAGTAGAGAGAGAAGCATACAAAAGTTTGATGGAGAAGGTGACAGGTACCATGTTATAAACTGAGATGGCAAGAACAAATGCTGAAGTTGTACTGAAAGGTAACTCGAAGTTTTAGAAGCAATGATCATATCAGGATTTCCTAAGATGATGTGAAATCATATAAAATGGAAATAATGCACAATCTTCTCAAATAAAAAATAAACAACTCTACAAGTGGTAGGGAAGAGTGGTGGTGATAACTCTGTTAAAGCAATAAAATCTCTTAGAGAATTAAACCACATGTAAAGACACATTTTCTTTGCAAATCAGTAAATACCAAGACATTTTCTCTCACCTGTATGTATATTCAGACACATTTATTTTTCCCTTTTCTCCTGTGGTTTCTGTTCGGCTTGTGAGGTTGACGGTATTTCCAAAAAGACAGTATCGAGGCATCCGCTGTCCTATGACACCTGTAACTACCTCTCCAGTGTGTATCCCTATTGTTATCTGCAAAAAAGCAAGCTTTGCTTCAATCACTTTCATCACTAACACATGAATTTTTTTTTTTTAACTTTACTTTAAGTTCTAGCATACATGTGCAGAACGTGCAGGTTTGTTACACAGGTATATATGTGCCATGGTGGTTTGTTGTGCCTATCAACCCATTATCTAGGTTTTAAGCCCCACATGCATTAGGTATTTGTCCTAATGCTCTCCCTCGCCTTGCCCCCAACCCCCCAACAGGCCCCGGTGTGTGATGTTCCCCTCCCTGTGTCCATGTGTTCTCATTGTTCAGCTCCAATTTATGAGTGAGAACATGCGGTGTTTGGTTTTCTGTTCCTGTAACACATGAAGTTTTGCTTACTTTATATTACAGAATAATGTAGAGTCATCATATAACATCATAAGAGATCTCTATAAGAATTTCAAGCATATTACCGACAACTTCAAAAGCCCTCCACGAAATCTGTCTCCCCAGAGAAATATCCTGTCTCAAGAGAAACATTTGAAATCTGAAGATTTCAAAGATACGAATCTAGTAACTTACATGAGACATGAGAGAGATTTTTAAAAACAAACTAGAAGGTACAAGAGGTTTTTTTCTCATCCCCATGATTTTCAGTACATGAAACGGACTAGACAATTTCAAACAGGTAGACAAATCTCTATGTCTATGAAATAATGTAGTACAGTGGGCTGAATGAAATACTACAGCTTTTGTTGTCAAGACACCCTTCTTTATACACATTAATGATTTTCTGGTCAACAATATGAATCAATTGTCCGAAAGGGTTTATAAACCATTATTACAATATCTACTTCATTTACTAACCTGAACAGATTCCCCATCTACTTGAACCTGGCCAGCAATTTCCATCATGTCCAAGGCCAGGTGGCAGATGGATCGTGCATGGTGAATGCATGGCTCTGGTAAACCACTCACTGTCATATACTTGTCACCAACAGTCTCCACCTAATAGTACATATATTTAGATGTTCATTCGTTAGCATAAAAAAGACTGTTTCATGTGTTACCCTAATAAAAACCATATTTTTTCAAGGCTACCAACAACTTTAAGCTTCCCTCCCTCTTTAACTCTCTTAAAATTTCTAATACATTCAACTCCAGTAAAATGAAATCTTGAATTACTTATAATTGACACACATGACAGACACTTGGGGTCTTTGATGATGGGCAGGTACAGACATAGAATTATTTTTGCTTTAGTAAGCAATTAATTTCTCACCTCAGATCACCTTATAATTCAGAAGAATAATTTTTTACATTTCTCCCTAAAACAGCAATGGCTTGATGGCATGGAGAGCCACCATTTGAAGTTCAGTGATTTATCATGGTCATTAATCATTTATTTTTATGATGTGCTCACCACATGCTACAGTGTACCTCAGAAAATGACTATAACATAAATAGTCTTTGTGTAGTTATATTATCCCAGATACCTAGGGATGGTTTACTTAACATTCTTGCCTTTATGCAGCAATATTCCACTGACTTCTTTTTTCCAATATTATATTTATTTCTAAATGAAACAAAGGGTAAAAACACCTTCTAAATGTTTATCTTCTTCAAGTTGATGTTATCTAAACGCAAATCTAAGTCCTTCTCACGCTCCATGACTTATATATCTCAGTAAAAATGTCTCTTGCAGAGCACTAAACTGAATGCTATGTTTATACTAAATGGGATAAACAGCCTGTCCAGATTTGTTAGCCTAAGTGCAAATCAGATGGTGAACATTTCATTTTAACCAGGCAATCACCCACTCCATGAAACATTCATTGTGGTTACAAGGAAGAGACAGTTTTATAACAAAAGGCAATTATTTAAGAAAATGGTAAAGAGTGAATACACGGAGGCTCACTGCACTCAAGGCTGCAGTGCTGGAGTCAGAGAACTGTGATGGCATGGCCTCTGGAGGGGAGGCTCAGAATGCCAGCCTCCGGATAGCTCTGCAGTCAGCGATAATGAAGACTTGCCTTATAAACAAATGGGTTTTTCCGGGAATCAGTCAGTGTGTCAAATCTGGTGTAGAGGTCGTTGAGAAGGTTTACGATCTTCATGGCCCCTTCTCCAGATGCATGTTTGCTACAGAAAGCATTGAAGCCCACAATGCCACTGAAGAGGATGGTCACATTGTCATATCTTTTGGCAGGCACTGGACGCTTGTGCCGCAGCTCATTGGCAACAGATGGAGGAAGGACAGAATACAGCAATCTGTTCAGTGGAATCAGGAGGAAGCCACTGTAAGAAATGCTGGGAAAGCCCTTAGTGCTTCTGCTGTCCCTTTCACATAGCATCAATGTCATTTGTACTTTAAAGGCCTGGATTCTAGCAGGACATCCTCTAAAATTAGCATCAAATATTAGCCATATTTATAAGCAAGGACTTACAGAAAATATAAATTATTTGTTCATTCTAATCACATAAAACATCCGCAAGCCCAAACTAGTTCAAATCAAATCAAAATAAGCCAAGCAAACAGACAAAACAAAAAGACTGGTAAGAGAAAATCAAAGTTTTCATTTGTAGTCCTGTATTCTGACCCTGCTATTGTGATAGTCACAGTATGAAGACTGTCATTACCAGCACCTAAAACATGGTATGAATAGCACAGTAATAGAAACAGGATTGCCTCTTAGAATAAGAAATATATCTCTATTTTTGGTAAGTAATATTAAAAGAAGCAGAATTTCTCTCCAGTCTCATTCATGCCTCACTCCTCCATAGAAGAAACTGATCAAACCAGTGGAAGTTGGTCTAGAATATAAAATATTTTATTTCTTTAGGCACAACTGAGACTAGTATGGTAGCACAGTATACTACTACTACTATGCTAAGGGACAAATGTGAGCACACAGGAGGAGGATGACAGCTGATGAATTTAGAGGCAAAGAAGCAGAAACTAGACCTATGGGCTCTGGATTGGAAGACTCGAGAGGAACAAATGAGGTCTTCCTGCCTTTTTCTTCCTACCTTTTGCTCTAGAGCAAAAGGGCATATGTGGGAAGTTTAAATATGCAAAATAGAGCTGAGCTCTCAATATTTTTCCTAGTCATAGTAAAATTTCTCCAGTCTTTCATTTTCAACTTTTAAACATTGAATGTTTTATAAAATATTAAAGCTATATTTGAATAGTAAG